GCCGGAGTCCCGATCTGGCGCGCTGCTTCCCCCATCCTCCCCCTCCTTCCCCCGACGGCCTTGGCCCGGCGCTCTCGTCCATCCCTCGCTGTCCCTCCTTCCATGACTCCACTTTCGCGCCTCTTCGTGCAGACTTTAATTTGCCCTTTTTCTTAGTTCTTGTCTGTGTGTCCCCTCTCTCAGCACCCTGGCTTGGTGTGGTCCACCGCTCTTCCTCTGATTGTCCCTTTGCCCGCGGTGGGAGAGGGTGATCCAACCAGACAGGCCAGGGAGCCATTCCCCAGCCCCGCCGGCTATCTCCAGCCTGCCCTTGCTCTTTGGTTGGGTCGAGTTCCTGGCTTGCTGGCCTCTTCCCAGGGTATGGGGGAAGGGATTTGGGGATGTAACTGAGTGCAAAGCCAAAAAAGCACGACCAGAAGTAAAAAGAGTGGGGAACGATGTACTTATTACCTGCAGCAGGTAAGGGGAGCCCTGGAGTTACTTGCCAAACAAGCAGTTTTCTCCCTCTGCAAAGGAGGTCTGAAGATTTTATTCATGGAGCTTGTACATATTCAGTTAGCAAACCACGTGGAGGGGCGGGCACATTTCTGAGCATGCTCAGTTTAAGGTTATTGATCCGTGTCCACAAAGGACGGATGGAGGGCATATTTTTTGGGCACGCTCAGTTCATGGTTACAATGAGCCAAGTTTATTTCAGGTTCCAAAAAGAATGAGTCATAGTGACTTAGTGACTCTGGCTGGCTCCTCCTAAATTTCTCCAGAATTTTAACTGAAATAAAAGGACAACTTTTGAGGTGTGGTAACAGTTTTTGAAAGGGGCACCGACAAGTGCCCGCCTTGCTTAGTGGCTAGCAGGAGGAATGTCAGGTTGGGTGCACTCCAAATGCAGAGAATTCTGATTATCTCCTAGACTACCATCCTGAAACTTGAGGAGAGGGAAGCAGACCCAGTAGTGGGGGAAAGTGTCTCTTTTCAGTAGGGTGATGATACCATCATCGCTGATGGCTGTTGTCAAAGCCACCTGCTCAGTACCAAGGTGCTGTTGGTGTTTGGTACTAATGGTGCTCAGTGCTCAGTTCCTAAGGTGCTCAATAAATGTCTGAATGAATTCCTGGTTGAGGGAAATGCACAGAGCTAGCACTGAACCTGACTCCAGGTAGAGCAAGATTGGCCCTTATCAGAATACCAGGTATGCCTGTGAATCAGGATCAAGGGTACGTAAGCTCTATTCAGTTCAATAGGTGTTTGTTGAGTGTCCTGGTGTCTGGTAGCAGGTACTGGTGACATAATTATGAGCTAGGAATAGTTCTTTCCTTAGGAACCCCAGAGTCTAGTAGAGGATCCATGGAACGGCATTCCAAGGGAGGAACTCCCACAAACAATAGAAATGCACAGCTGGGTGGGATCAAGAGACAACCTTCCAGAAAGGCCCCTGGAGGAGCTAACTTGAACGATTACAGTAGAGAGAAGGTGAGTGGCAAGTGACTGAAGACTGGCCCAGATGGGAAAGCTGTGCCACAGGTGTTTTTTTGTTTTTCATTGATTGCTAGAGCCCAAGCTTCAGACTGGTTGCAAAGGGACTGTAAGCCTTATTAAGGAGTCTAGAGTTTCTCTGAGAGGGAGTGAAGAATCACTCTTCAGAGTGACAGGATTAGATTTGCATTTCAGAAGAGGGACCTTGGTTTCAGTGTGAAGAGTGATTCTGGTGGTGGTGTGGGGTTGCTTAGAGGGGACGAGAGAGCCCTTGAGTCTCATGGGCAAATAGAAATGCTAGGGCTTGGTGACTATTTAGAGGTGTGCAGGGAGGTTGAGGGGGAGCATAAGCAAGATTACCCTGGGTTTCTCACGCAGACAGCTGAGATCGGGAGCAATGGAATGGGGAGAGATCCTGAGGACATCTGAATGAAGTCTCCCTTTCATTCACTGAGGGTGACCTAAAGAAATGTGTGAATGTTAGGAGAGGGGAGATGTGTAGGGACCCTTTAGATTGGGTGAGAGTTGGGTCTGATTCATCCCTGTATCCTCATGGCCATCACTGGCTTGACACCCCACAGGAACCCCTGAAAACCATGTTTCTTCCAGCCCACAACCACAGGCTTTCCACCCACTCAGGAACGCTCTTGCAGAGGCATTTATTGTAAGGCTGGGGAGAAGGGGCCACAAAGGACAGGTGGTCCTGAAGAGGGTAGAAAAGAAGCCTATCTTGCAGGAAGCATTTTGGGCAACATTTGTAGATGAGGTTGGAGGTCTAAGATTTTAAGATTTGCAGAGTTTGGGAGCTTTGTGGGGGAAGGAGGAAAAAGAGAGAGAATTAAGGAGTTTGGGAACAGGACTGAGGTCTTGTTTAATAAACCAAGCAATGAGGATGCCAGGGCAAGAAGCTTCTTCCCCCTCGTTCCCTTCTTCCCCTCTTTCCCTTCTACTTCTTCCCTTCTCCTTTCCTCCTCCTCCTCCTGCTTCTTCGTCTATTTTTTTTTTTTTTTTTTGCTGTACTGAGGTTTGAACTCAGGGTCTCACACTCTACTGCTTGAGCCACACTCCCAGCCCTAAGGAAGCTATTTTTGGGGGCATCTGAAATGAGCTTCAGAAAGGACATCTGAAGTGAGTGACCTCATTAGACTTTGAGAGCTGGAGGGATTTAGAGTTCTTGGAGTCCGTTTTGCCTGCCTGTTTAAGGCAGAGAAGGAAAGTGAGCTGCCCTGGGTGTAGAATTCATTTTTGGCAGCAGAGGGGCAAGGATGTTGAGGCTGGGCTAGTGTACCCACAATGGACTGGCATCACACTGACTGGTGGGGATTTGAACTCAGCTCTACTTCTTTACCTCCTGGCTGTATGCCTCTTCTCTGAGCTTTCCTTGCCTGTGATATGGGGACATTAAGAGGATGCATGAGCTTTACTGGTATAGGCAGCTTCACATGTAACTGCCTGCTTACGGAGATGACTTCAGGGTTAACCAAACAGCCCTGCCAAGGGGACTGTGAGGTTTGTGAGAGACAAGGAGTCATAGGTTCTTGGGTTTACTCTTCTCAGATGTATTGTTTGGCTGCTGTCAGGAATCATCCTCTTCGCTGCCTCCTTCCCTCAGCCGGCAGGACTGTCCCTTGGTAGGAGCTGTTGCCATGGCAACTCAGTGCTCCCCAACAGTTAGGTTGCATTTGACTCATTTAATCTTAGTGGCACAGCTAGATCAGTTGAGAATAAGGTCACACCTTCATCAGCCTGAAGGATGATTCTGAGCCATGCAGTGACGCGTGGTAGAATGGCTAGTTGGAAATCTAGCTTTTCCTTTATTTAACCCTGCACAATTTTTTTTTTTCCCTTCAGCAGCAACCAGCACATCCCCTAGGAAACCTGACAGCCTCCAACACACATCTTAAAAAAGAGCCTACACCTCCCACCCTTGACTCTTCCTTCTCAGCACCATCTGTTGCCCTCTCTCCTCTGTGTGCCCTTTGAGGGCAGAGGCCATGTCCTATTTAGCTGTTTAGCACAAAGCTTATATGCAATTGGAGCTCCTTAATTTTGCACAATGAATGAGAACAACGAATGAAGAGGGGAGATAACTTATAAAATGACCAAGAGTAGAGGTGACCTGAGTTCAAATGCAGATTTAAGCACTGGTTGACTTCAGGTGGTGTACTTACCTCCTTAGGCTTCAGTTCCTTCGTTTGTAAAATGGGGATTTTATGCCTGTTAATCAGCATGCCTGCGGATTGAGTAGAATGCATTTCAAACACTGTACAGTTAGAGTGGGAGGGAACGGACCTTGAACTGCTGTTTATCACTAGTTCCTGGGTAGTTGCCACAAAGAACAGGTAGGCACATACATATTTTATTGGGCAAGGGAGTGAATTTTAAATAACAAGTGTTCAGAAAGCTAGTGTGTATGGATAACAATGGGGTGTTCTCATATGTAATAGTCATTGCATAGTCTTCTGTTTTGTTTGTTGGTGGTGTTGGATTTTGAACCCATGGCCTTGAGCATGTTGGGTCTGTGCAGCCCCAGAACCCAATCTGTTCCTATGTCCCTCTCCCCACTGGTCTGTGGACATCTCCAGGCAGGTACCACAGTGACTTACCCACATCCTTAGTGCTCAGCCCAAGGTCTAGAAAACTAAAAATTCTGTTGAGCAGCTGAACTCAGTTCACATTTGCACCACACTTAACATTTTTTGAAACAATTTTTTTTTTTGAGACATGGTCTTACTATGTAGCTCAGGTTGGCCTTGAACTCATAATCCTCCTGCCTCAGTTTAACCAAGTCCTAGGATTACAGGTGTGTACTACCACGCTCGGTTTATAAAGCAGTTTTGCATTCACTGTATCTAGTGTTACTAGCCTTTCACTACAAAAGAGATTCTTATTATTATTTAAGCCCCATGAGTGCATATTTTGAAAAATATCCATCAAACAAATTCCATTTTGTAAATGAATCAAAGGCATGTCAACTGCAAATCAGAAGTTCTTTCTTTCCATCTTTAATATTTTCCTTCCTCTCTTCTCTTCTCTTTTCTTTCTTGTGCCGAGGATGAAACCTAGAGCCTTGTGCATGCCAGGCAAGTGCTATACCACTGAATTTCTACCGGCCCCATTCTCGTTATGAGAAGTTTTTCGGATGTGGACACAAAACAAGTACTCAAGAAATGCTTCCTTAATGAGTTATGTGTGTAGTTTCTTTAACTCTGTGGGAAATCCTTCTCCCCCTCTTAACTATATCTTAGATCTGAGCATCCCAGGTTGGGAACTCATGACTTCACAGCTCCATACGCTAGTCTTGTAGATGAGGAAACTAAGGCCTAGGGAGGGGAAAAGTTTTGCCAGAGTCCAGAAATTTTGGAAGTGTTATCAGTGGGATTTCTGCAGGAACTTCCATTACTAACGTTCTGAGATCTAAACGAGAAAATTAAAATGCTTGGATGGGTATTCTTTTATCAAACTGAAATCCTTTATTAAGATACACATGCTATGGAGCTACACAGCATATACCTCCCTTCAGCATGATGGCTGTACCCGGTTGTTCTTGGGTGAAGGTAGGTCACAAGCTTCCTGAAGGTGGCGCTGTTGGCTCACCCTACCGCTTGTTCCCCCAGGTAACTACCGTCGTGCAGCTGAATGTCGGCGGCCAGTTCTACACCACCACCGTGGGCACCCTGAGAAAATTCTCCGGTTCAAAGCTGGCAGAGATGTTCTCCAGCCCAGTCGAGGCCTGCACGGATGGGGAGGGCCGTTTCTTCATCGATCGCTCGGGTACTTACTTCGGCCCCATCCTGGACTACCTGCGCACCGGACAAGTGCCCTCACAAAACCTCACTGAGGTGTACCGTGAGGCTCAGTACTATGAGATCCAGCCTTTGGTCAAGCTCCTGGAGGACACGCCGCAGATCTTCGGTGAGCAGGTGGCTCGGAAGCAGTTCTTGCTGCGAGTGCCGAACTACAGTGAGAACCTGGAGGTCCTACTCCGCCTGGCGCGGGCAGAGGCGGTGGGGATGCGCTGGTCGGAGGTGGTAGTGTGCGTGATGCACACAGACGAGCAGGCTGCGCAGTGTGCGGAGCCCCTGTATAACCTGGAGGCCAAGAAGGTGCCATTTGTCAAGTTTGGACCCTGGAATGTAGGTCCATCAATTGAGGACTTACTGCACTGCGTGAATAAGGACATTAAGGCCAAGGGGTACCAGGTACAACTTCAGAAATACTTTCTAGAGAAGGCATGCTGGGCCAAGCTCCAAGGTTGCTTCCACAAGTTCACCTTCAACTGGTGGTGATCTCCAGAAGTGGGGACCATTTTTGTTAGTGGCTCTGGTAGGTCTTGTGAAATTAAAAGTTGCCATTAAAAGCCATCTTTTGTTTGTTTGTTTTCAGTACTGGGGCTTGAACTCGGGGTCTACACCTTGAGCCACTCCACCAGCCCTTTTTTGTGATGAGTTTTTATGAGATAGGATCTGGCGAACTATTTCCCCAGGCTGGCTTGGAACTTCGATCCTCCTGATCTCTGCCTCCTGAGTAGCTAGGATTTGAGGCGGGAGCCCAGCAAAAAACATCTTTCTTTTATTTCAAAAATAAATATAAAACATCTTCCAAGGTTGGCTTACAGCCTCACCCCAAAATACTTATCCCTCTTACCCTTATGGCCCCACTGTACTAGCTAGCAAATCCCCACCCTCCTTCAAAACTTCATGTACCTGTCAGATGTTTCTCTTAAAGTCCAATAAATTAGAATGTTTTGGGCTGGTGGAGTGGCTCAAGTGGTAGAGCACGTGCCTAGCTAGCATGAAACCCTGAGTTCAAACTCCAGTACCGCCAAAAAAGAAAATAGAATGTTTCAACAATGCTTTGGCAGGAGATGTGGGATGACCATAGGAAAATACAGGCTTCCATCAGTTTGATAGTTTGACTGAAGTCCACCCAACCACTTTAGTCCATCTGGCCTCTGTGTGCCTTCAAGAAGAAGATGTCAGATTAGTACCTGCAGTGAATACTTCTTAGATCCCCTTTACTGGATGTTGCTAGTGTTGGTTGTGGAAGCCCCACAGCTGCTCTCTTCTGTACCCTAGTGATTTTCAAAGTGTGGCATCAGTATCCTCTGGAAAAGTGCTCGAAATACATATGCTCAGGCCCCACTTCAGGTCAACAGAGTCAGAATCCCTGAGGGTTGTCCTAGCTGCATGATTCAGCAAGCCATCCGAGTGATTCTGATGCACTGTAGTTTTGAGACATGCTCTTGGAAAGAATTGCCACTTGTTGGATGAAGGGACAAAAGACTTGACGCCTTACCTCCAAGAAGTTTCTGTTGCAAGGCTCCTTGTTGGACCAGGCTAAATGAGTGTCCATCTGAGAGCACATTCTTTAGCTTTTGTCCTCTGTCCTCCACTGCTTCCTTCACTTCCTTCTAAGAGCCCTCCTTCAAGAAACCATGTATATTCCTTGAACTAAAGGTCTCCATTTAGGTTCTTTTTCTGAATTTCAGATAGAGGACACACATAGACATTCATCCTTCTTCAAGTCTAATTCTGAGACAGATGACTCCCTTCTGTGACTTGTGGCTCAACAAACCATGTAAGTCCCACCCTGGGACTAAGGATTTCACAGGACTCTAGTACCAGATCTTGGAAGGTCCCCTGCAAACAAATAAGTTGGTTGTTACTGCCACTCCAGTCCACCCTCTCTCTTTTTCCTTTGGATGCCTCTTCATGGTGACAGATCCAGGAATAATTTCCCCCTCAGGAGACACCATTTATACCTACAAGAATCTGGGTTTGCCTCCTCATGGACTAATGAATATCTGTATCAATTTTTTCTTTTCTTTCTTTCTTTTTGATGGGGTTTGAACACAGGACCTCACACTTGGCTATGCAGGTGCTCTCCCATTCTCCCACTTGAGCCACTCCATGGCCCCTCTATGTAGTCCTTTCATAAAAACATTTGAACTTTTTCCTTTATTACACTCTCCTGCTGCAGTGTCTCTGTGGCATGTTTCAAACGCGACCCAAAAGCCTATTTCTTGGACTAGGAGCCTGACTTGTGGGGGACACTCAGAGTTTTCTGTACCTTGCAATTTCTTCAAAAGACTGAGCAATTCTTTCTATTGCTTCCAAACTACAGAAGTGATTCAGCATCTCCCTTTGGGAGCTCCAGGGCTGGAGCTGTTGGGTTGTTTGTGTGTCAGAGTATTTTGTTTGGTTGGTTTGTTTTCATTTCTGTTTTTTTGATACAGGGTCTTGCTGTGTAGCACAAGCTGGCCTTGAACTCAAGATTCTCCTGCATCAGCCTCACAAGTGCTGAGATTACAGGTGTGTATCCTCACACCTGGCTGTACCCAAGTATGTTTTTAACATACTACCTACCTCTTGTTCTTGAGAAAAAAAACCCCAAAACTCCAGGTTTTATGTTATGACACCTCTTTCCTGGCTCCTCCTATTGCTAGAATCTCTCTGGGTCTCAAACGATAATAAAAGTCTCCTTCAACTCTGGTAAGACCACCAGGGGTGAGCAGCTCTCCTCATTGGCATGGGTCCTTTCCTAATCATCAGTTTATGCTAACTGTGGATCAGGGCTGAACCTGGGCATCTCACCCTTGTCCATCCTGATGCAGAAACACATGATCCCATGACATTTAATAATTTCAGGTGGGACTCCCAAAGTGGGACAGGTCTCCTGCTCATGCGTACAGGTATTCACACGTTAATTCTCCAAATAGTCTACTGTTGTAGCCACACATAGACCCCAGGAAAATCATGGCGCAGGAAGTTCAATGATTTGGACAGTGGGCCAAGTAGTTAACTGGTTATCTTGGAGCAAGGTGATGATAGGGGAAAAAAAAGGCTGGGACAAGGGATGATTCAAACTACAAGTACAGCACCACCAATCCCAATCCCAAGAACTCCTACAAGCAACTGAAAAAGACTTTGATAGAGGGAGGGACATCAAAATTCTTAGATCAAGTAGACATGGATTTAAGTCATCAAATTTGGGGGCTGGCAGTGTGGCTCAAATGGTAGAGTGGCTCAATGGTAGAGTGCTTGCCTAGCAAGCACAAGGCCCTGAGTTCAAACCCCAGTACTGCCAAATAAATAAATAAATAAAAATAAATACATAAATAAATCATCAAATTTTGGATCAAAAGGAGGGGAATGTTGTGGATTTAGAGAGACTAAAACTTTTTTTTCTAAAATTTTGATGAATTTTAGGAATATCTAGCAGAAATTTTAGAAGCCTAGTGGTCAGATTACATGCCAGGTCAGTTAAATTAGAATCTCTAGGGTTGGAGCTCAGGTATCATATTTTAATGCTACTTGATTAATTCCAACATGTGGCTAAGGTGAGACTCACTGAAGTAAGAAAACCTAATGTGTGAATTTTGGTTGGATCTTAGAATTTTCTAAAAATAAGGTTATAAAATACATTCGTGGAACAAAAGTCAAACACACGTGTGTGTGTGTGTGGTGTTGGGGATTTAATATTAGAGCCTTGCACATGCTAGGCAAGTGCTTACCACTGAGCTATTTCCCCAGCCTAATTTGTTCTTTTTTTTTTAGAAGCAATTATGGTGGTAGGAGAATATTCCTGTTCTTAGGAGATGTAAACTGAGGTATTTAGGTGGAAGCATTTAAGTATCATAATGTCTTCAACTTATGTTCAAATGGTTTAACAGATATGTATATATACATGTGTATGGAGAAAGAAATGATGCAAAGTGTCTAAATAGTAATAGTTGGTTGGCCTAGGTGAAAGGTTCATCATAGCATCCTTTTATCTTTTCTGTAGATTTGAAAATTTTCAACATACCAAATTGAAAAGTTAATTTGGAGAACTAACATTTGAATACCTGTATGCATGCAATATTAGAGTATCACAATGGATACATCATGCTAATGCCAGATGCAATTATTTATCAACACTTAACTAAATGTTTGGGAATTATATAGAAAAGTTCCAAACTAGCTTAGTATATTTGATTGTTCTCTACACACGAGAACTTTGGTATGTCCTTAGGGGGGGTCCTGTACTAAGCAAGTAGTGTTATAGCTAATCAAAAAGCTACCTCCTTGATCAATTACAGGGATGATGTATGCCTGGTAGCCATGACGCCTCCTGGTCTGGCTGTATGTTTTTTCTATGCCCAATGATAGTATTGCATAGTCCTCTGGTACATTGACCTTGGGCTTGGCAATGTAAATTGTATGCCAGTGGACCATCAACAAACAACAAATGGGGCATGAGTAAAGATTTGATAATTGCTTGTGTACAAGGTTAGTACTTTTATGAAATTGCTACTGTCCCAAAAGAAAGACAGGTTAGCAGGCTGTGATTATGCACAGCTAGGGATGCTGAAGTGAGAGGATCACTTGAGCCCAGAAGTAGGAGACCAGATTAGGCAACATAGTCTCAGAACACACACACATACACAAACACACACACACACCAGGCTATTCCACTAGATAGGTTAAAAGAAGAGGCACTGAAGAGGTCACCTTAGACCAGGTGATCCAGCTGAATTAGGACCAGGACTGCCAAGCTTAGACCAACTCAAATTGTAGGATCATGAGTAAATAATAATGTCTCAAACCTCTGTGGTTTGTTTTATTACTCAGTAATAGATAACTAATATACTTTATTTTAAGAGATTTCTCCAGAAGTCTCACTTAATAACATCTGCTTACATTTTGTTTACCAGAACTGTGAAATATGGCCATGTATTTTGTGTGTGTGTGTGTGTGTGTGTGTGTGTATGTGTGTGTGTGTGTCTGTAATGGGGGATTGAAAATGATCAAGGTACAGTTATACACATGTATGGGAATGTCATAATGAAACCCATTATTTTGTATAATTCATATATGCTAAGAAAAAACCTTGGGTGAATCTGAAAAAGAAAAGAAGAAACAATTTTCCCCTTGTGACACACTCCAGTTATTCCGGCACTCAGCAGGCAGAGGTAGGAGGATCAGGACCAGCCTGGGCTACATAGTAAGACCTTGTCTAAAAATATAGAAAGAAAGAAACAGAGAGAGTGAGAGAGAAAGTAAAGAAAGAAGAGAAGGGAAGGAGAAGGGAAGGAAGGAAGAATTTAAAGAATAGTGTTTATAAGTTATTAGAAACATGGGGGTAAAATGGATGCTGAATACTGTTTTTTACTGTCAGCTTTGCAGAGTAGTATTATGAAAAAAATGAAAAATCTATGCACATGTATTAATTTGAAATAAAAATTAAGTTGTTCTGATGGTCTAGGTTTAGCATTTTAATCTGATTGTATTCAATACAGAAGTCT